AAGGAACAAACTGTTCACTCTTTCGAACAAAAAAAAAGAAAAAAAAAAAGAGGGGAAGGAAAAATTGATCGTTTCAATTATCTTTCATCTATTCTTTTTCCTTGTTTCATTGTGCATCATGTTAATTTGTGGATTGTTTTTAATTATTTCGATCTCTTGTTTCGGTATTTTAAACCTTTCTTTTTGGCATTTTCCTTATCCTAACCTAAGCCCCGTTACACCTTGTTTAAAGAACCCTTGATTATTGCATTATGTTCATTTTCATAGTAGAGACTTTATTGTATTCCAAACCTATGATAATATTTTGATTAGTTTCGATTTGAGCGATTTCATTCACCGATAATTTATCTACAACACTATAAATTACTACTTATTTTTGTTATCTTATTTTCCTAATTAATGTTGACAGTTTATTTTAGGCTTATATCACAAATATGTACTTAAAGTATATCACATTTTTCATTTAAGTACTTAAAGTATTTTTTTAGTCAACATGAGTATATAAATTTATCTTTTTGATCAAAATAAGTACCTAAAGTATTTTTTGATTAAAATATGTATCTAAAGTGTTCAATTTTTTCATTTAAGTACCTAAAGTATTCTTTAATTAATATCACATGTCAACTTTTTTAGAACCTAGATAAAAAAAATTGAATACTTTAGGTACGTATGTTGATAAAAACAAAATTATATACTTATTTTGATAAAAAGATAACTTTAGGTACTTCTTTTGATAAAAAAAATACTTGAGTTCTCTTGGATGAAAAAAATATACTTTAAATATTTATTTATAATATAAGCCTTTATTTCACAATAATATGATTAGTTTCCAACAAACTAATGATCAAAGACCAACCAATTAAACCCACTAAGAGTGCTAATATTGTAAAAATTAATGCCTAATCTGTTGACATCAGCTGTAGCAGGCACCAATGGCTAACAAGATATTTAATCATAGGTGATCTATGGTAATGGAGCAATATCTTAATTATTTAATTAATGTTCTTTAATGTCATTAATCCTTAAGTGCTGCCAACATGACTATCACCATAGCCCATATATTATATGTATATGAAGATTTCGACAGACCAAAACAGAATGAATCTCATCTCCACTCAATTGACTCCACATTGGTGGGTTTTATTTAAAATTACTGGTTCTTGTTGATTGATAATCTTTTTGGCATTTTCAAACAAAAGAACAATGGAGGGGAGGGCATTGCTTTAAAATAAAAGTTGTGCTATACTAGCTATAGTTATTATGGTACGTTTAGTATCTAAACTATTAGTTTTGATCCGTTTTAATATCTAAATTTTCATTTTTTTTTCAAAACCACACCTAACGTTTAATTTTTGTTTCATTTTAGACCCTCATTCAAAGTTTAACTTTTGAAAAAATTGAGAGTTTAAGTACTGAAACAAACCAAAACTGATAATTTAGGTATTAAATGCGTGAAATTTTTAATGGCGGGGTACTAAAATGAAATGAAAACGTTAGTTATGATTGTGAAAAATATGAAAATTTTGATACTAAAATGGATAAAAACTTATAATTTAGAAACTAAATGCATAATTTACCCTAGTTATTAAATAACTTGTGTGTAATTTAATGTTTTTGTCCCACAGTTAATTGTGCACGTCTTTATTTCTGTTGGTTTGGTTTGGCCCAAAATATTAACTATTTTTTCCTAAAAAAAAGTTCTCATTAATAATATGATATCAAAAGTGACATTTTTTTATTAATCTGTAATAAATTTAAGATAATATATGTTTATAGATAACTCGTAATCTTTCGATAATGAACGCTCACACCCATGACATCTATGGTGTTCAAACCCGGATATCAAGGAATGACAACCACTCCTTTACCACGGAGACCACTCAAAATAAACTCAGAAGTGACAGTTGTACATAGATATAGTTGATAATTTTACTGGTTTTTAGGGTAAACAAACATTTTGATACTTGAATTTGGTTTTAATGTATAATTTAGTACTTACTTTTTTTGGGTCCAATTAAGCATGTGAACTTGACTTTTAAATCGGGGTCGGCCCTGGGCTAGGGCAGGAGAAGCGTCCGCTCACGACCCATAAATTAATATTTTTAATATAACATTTTTTCCATAATTTTTGATAATAAATTAAAAAAAATTGTAAAATCAAAATAATGGAGTCTATGAATTTATTAAATATAATAAACTCAAAATTATAAAATAAAATAATATGGCCCCGTGATTTATTAATTTGTCAATTTTCATTATTAAATTTTATATTAACATTATTATATTGTTTAACTTCTCATAAAATTTTTATTCAATATTTATTTCCCAAAATAAAAAAAATCCAATTGAATCTTTTTAATTTTTATATTTCCAAATTCCTACCAATAATTCACCAAATCTCTTTCCCGGTTTTTTTCATATCAATGAATTTTTTTATTAAAGCTATTTTTTCTCTTTAAAACTCAATTGGAGGAAAATAATTAAGTATGATTAGTACATTTCTTTTCTCTTCCATATTTCATAATTCATCTAAAAATTATTACTCTCACTTTTTAATCTCTCGTATTTCTCACAAACACAAAGTCGCAATTGTTTACAAACAATTGTAGTTCTTGAATCATATCGAAGATTATTCTTAAAATTCTAAGCAATATCATGTTTTCAAAATATTTGTTTTGATTTCTATATATTGCTTAATTCTAGATAGAATCGTTCTTTTATTTTCAAATGTTATGTTATATATTGATAAAATTATGTCATAAAACATTGATGTTGACACTATCATCAATGATTTTGCATAAAAATGCTCAAAACAATGTTTTTATAAGTATTTATATGCTTAATGTATTTTTAAAATTGTTGATGTTGTACTGAATTACTATTTGTTTAATTTAATAAAAAATTCTAATGAAATTTTTATATTAAATATTTCTTAAATTTCTTTGAATCAGGGGCCCATTTTTTTTAATTTAGTCACGACTCAAGAAATAGTCAGGACCGACCATGTTTTAAATTAAAGGGTAAAGTATACAAATGGACTCCCAATTATAGGGTAATGCTTTATTTAGTCTCTCGACTATTACAAATTATAAAATAGTCTTCTGAATATAGAGTGTTGCTTTATTGAGTTACTCGACTATTAAAGTTACAAAATAATCATCTGACTATTTATTACGTTATAAAGTCGTCCTTTTTCGTTATAAATTGACGTTATTCTGAGCTAAACGTTAACTTGCTGACTGCCATATGATAAAATACGATATCAGATTCTCAAATGGCTATCATATTAAATCATTATGTTAACATTCAAGTCAAACGACCGTCAATTTTTAACAAAAAATGATGAGTTTGGAACATAATAAATAGTCAGATGATCATTTTGTAACTTTTAATTATTGAGTAACTCAACAAAACAACACTCTATAATCACAATATCATTTTATAATATTTAATAGTCAGATGACTTAATAAAGTAATACCCTATTATCACATGACATCATTTGTGCACTTTACTTTAAATTAAATTAATGATTGAATTTGATTTGGTAGTTCAGTTTGATTCAAATATATCATTTATCATAAATATTAATTTAAACAAAAAATAAAGTTCAAATACCTTACCTAATTGAATCGTTAAGTCGATTTTTTTGGTTACCCTGTAGTTTCAGGGTTTTACTATGAATAATCTGAACCAACCCGAGTCCATAACATAATAAATAGTCAGATGATCATTTTGTAACTTTTAATTGTCGAGTGACCTAACAAAACAACATGATATAGTCAGAAGACCATTTTATGATTTTTAATAGTCAAATGACTTAATAAAATAATACCTTATTATCACATGACATCATTTGTGCACTTTACCCTAAATTAAATTAATGATTGAATTTGATTTGGTGTTTCAGTTTGATTCAAATATAATTATTTATCATAAATATTAATTTGGGCAAAAAATAAAGTTCAAATACCTTACCTAATTGAACCGTTAAGTCAATTTTTTCCCTTCAGTTTCAGGGCTTTGCACCGAATAATTTAGATCGATCCGGGTTATACATATAGTTTTAGTGAGTGGGTTTATTAACGGAGATTTTCTATATACACAAAGAATCGAACCTAAAATCTTATTTAAGTGATATCAAGTTGCTTACCCTAATAAATAAATATAGAGAATGCACCCATAAGACATAGATTAAAGTTAACCAAAGTCTACTTGATTGCATTGTTATATATAAAAAATTACAGTATTTAAAAACTAAATCACTTTATTATATTGACTATTAAGGCCCTTTTAGTTAAAAATTATTAAAATTTAGAAGTTTATTATCTTCACAAAATTTTAGAAGTGTGAAAAGCAAAAATAAATAAAATAGAAAGGTCAAAACTGGAATTTAAAAATTAATTTTGGCAGCACGGCCAAACCATAATATAAATGAAGATGGACCATTAATGGCCCCACATTTTCCTAAAAAAATCAATCTAATATTAAATGTTTCAATTTCAACTTTTTAATGTCAATGATTTTATATCAACAATCTTTAGAAAAAAGGGTTAAAATTTGATAATTTTTATAATTTGCTCATCTGATATAATATTTTGAAATGGTGTTATATCGTGAACGAAAAAAGGAAAATCTTTTTTAAAATTTTCTAGTTGACAATACGACGTAATATGATAATATCACGTTATCTGAAGGACAAAAGGATAAAGTTTAGAGATTAAATTGAGAAAGTTGTTAAGTTTGAGGACTAATTTTGACAAAAAAACCAAAGACCGGATTGGGAAAGGGGGACAAAATGAGGGGCCAAAACGTGACTTATCCCTTGTAAAGATTAAAATTCCAAAATCAATGGCAATTCTCGTAATAAAATTGTTAATCCAAGGTCAAATCGAAGAGTAAATCCAGTTAAAATAATAAAAAATATTAAGCGTTTAAAATGAGATTTTTATTTTTATTATTTCAGGCGATGAGGTAGGCTTCCCTCCTTTTTTATGGCGGTTACAGGCTTTTCTTCAGATAAACAGCGTTAAACAAAATCCTAGAATCCTCGTCGGAGTTTCAGTCCGGTCGATGATCGGAGCTCTGGTTTCCGTCGGAGGAGACGAGATAGAGCGTTTATCTGTCGTTCGTTGTTTGTTGGGTGAGAGAAAAGCGAGTTTTTGTAGGTAGATAAGAAGAGGAAGACTGAAAATGAATGGTAATGGCAATGGATTTGGGAGTGCGGCGGCGGCTGCTGACTATATAAGGAGACATCATCTGCATGAGATTGGAGAGAATCAGTGTAGTTCAACTCTCGTAAAGCACATCAAAGCTCCCGTTCCTCTCGTAACTTCCTTTTTCTCTCTGTTTACGTTTTGTATCTTTCAATTCAATTCATCTCAAGATTCTTGTCAGTTATCATCTTCTATTACTTTTCTTTTTCTTTCATTTCTTTGGATCTGTTTCTGATATTTTATGATGCTATCTCTTTTGATACCTTCATTGATCGATTCTTTTTCTTTTTCTTTTTTTTTTTGTGTGTAATCATTCTGTGTTTTCTTATGGAGATTGTTTTTCAATGTTTGACTTCTTTTTCTCCGGGTTGATTTGTCTTGATCTGTGGTGGTTTTATTTTCTAGAAGTCTTTGATTGTTTTGATTCATTTTTTTAATTATCCTTCCATTGAATAATTATAATAACAGAAGATTGATTTGAATTAGTTACATTTACTGTCCCGGTGGTTGAAATTTGCATAACCTGTTGAATTAGAGAAGACATTTTCTGATCTTTTGTGGGCGAAACAGAGATAATTTTGATTAAGTTTAATGCTTAGGAGCAACTCAAAACTTTCTTCTTTCAATTTGAACAGATTTTGGTTGGTTTAATTGTCAGAAGTTTTTTTCCAGATTAAATTCATTTCTATAATATAGTTAATTGCTTTATATGGAAACAATCTGGTTATGATTTAATCGATTAAATGCAACTTATCTTTTTTGTTATTGCATTTCTTAGAAATGGGAATGACGTGAGTATATGCTCCAAATCTTTATTTCTTCTTTCGTCTCCATTATTTTGCACGTACCATATGAAATGTTTATATTTGAAGGAAGAATATACAGATGAAAGTGGAAAGATTTTAATAATTAAGTGGATATTCCGATAATGAACAAATAATTATCTCCTCCACAATTGTAGAGCTTGATTCTTATGTTTTTTTTTGTTGTGAATGTGTTAATCTATCTCCTTGGATCAATTTTCCTTTTCCTGAATATGCGTACTTTTCGCTGAAACTTGTATTGCTTTGTCTTTATTTTCTTTTTACAGGTTTGGTCTTTGGTGAGGAGGTTTGACCAACCTCAGAAGTATAAACCTTTTGTGAGCAGGTGCGTCGCACAGGGGAACCTAGAGATTGGAAGTCTTAGAGAAGTTGATGTCAAGTCGGGTCTCCCGGCTACTACAAGTACTGAAAGATTGGAACTCCTTGATGATAACGAGCATATCCTCTGCATCAAGATTATAGGTGGTGATCACAAACTTAAGGTAGAAAAAATATTTCTCCCTCCCTTTCTTCTGATAACCTTTGTTACTCTTTTATTTTCATTCAGTATCACCCATCTTTTGTATCTCAAGTCCATTTGTTCTTAGAACAAAGTAGATTAGATGCATTTGCTTGCAGAGCTAAAGTCCATTTGTTCTACAAGATGGTTGCCGGTTTTGTAATATTTGCCAAGGTTAGTGAAATACAAGTGTCACCAAATTTTGGATGAATTTATGGGTATTTTTTTAAATCCTGAAAACTATATAGTTAGATTTGCAGCTAAATTTGGTTTCCTGAATGTTCTGGTACAAAAGTTAATTAGTAGACAAGTCATGATCATGAAGTTCAACTCTTAAGTGGAACAGTTGTAAATTGGAGATGCAGACAAAGTTTGATACCTTTTGACCCTATTTTTTTTAATTTTATCTAGAACTACTCTTCAATCATTTCCCTCCATCCGGAGATCATTGACGGAAGACCGGGGACGTTAGTCATTGAATCCTTCGTGGTAGATGTGCCTGAAGGGAACACGAGGGACGAGACATGCTACTTTGTTGAAGCTTTGATCAAGTGCAACCTCAAATCACTGGCAAATGTCTCTGAGGGGCTAGCAGTGCAGGACCGGACCGAGCCTATTGATATATGAAAGTTGAGGCCGAGGAGATGAAAGAAAAATAATGTGTTGGATATAGTTGCCATGGATGAAGCTTCAAAAGGCTTTTCGTACCTGGGAGGGGCTTTAGGGATGGACTGGCAATTGTGGTATTCCATCTTCTACACACACACACTGCATTGCTTGTACTTTATCATTTGTTTCTCCTTTTGTTTATCGAACTTAATATGCTGGATTTCCTCTGTAGTAGATTAACCTCATTGTTGAAGGATGGGAAGAGAATGGACTTAATTCCTGCCCAGCTGATCCAGGATTTCCAAGAGAAAATGGAAAAAGAAAAGGAAGAAGGAAGATGAACTTAATCAAGAATATAATAACACTGCAATGTATCGCAATCTATACATTCTAAGTTGCTAAAGAAAATCAAATTTATAAGTGGCAAGAAGAATAAATGGTTGGTCAGTTTATAAAGAAAGAGAAACAAAACAAAACGAAAACATGGGGAGCAACGACTGATGCGGCAACTGAGGCGAGGCAACTCAATGAGTTTTTATACGGTCGATACTTGATAGAGAAATGGTATTTTACATATGATTGGGTCTGAAAGGGGGTACGCCAATATGGCCCGGCATTTGCATCATTCCGGGGCTCATTTGAGGCATCGAAGCTGGTGGACTGTAAGGATTATGATTTGTCATCTGTACCGGCATCGAGTGGAGCACTGCCGGCACGGCTGAGGCTCTCCATCCGGAAGAAGGTCGTGGAGGGATCATAGGTTGTCCCATTCCAGGAGCAGCATATTGAGTCCCATTGATTGCTGACCAGCTTCACCCACAGTTTGAATTGGCTGTTGCCCCAAACCTGAAGGCTGTGGGTTAACCAGGACGGGATCAGTGATTGTGTAATCCCTGCTCCTATCATTGTCGAGCTGCATAGATAAACCAACCGTATTAGATTAAACTGCATAAAATGCATAATAAACTGTGTTATTAATATAATTATATAATGCAACCTCAGTCTATTAATATAATTATATAATGCAACATAAGTCGGATTCTTAAGATACGACGATGACACTCCAAAATCTCCCTTCATCTTTTTCTACCCTTAATGAAAAAGTGCGAAGACTGTGCTCGGCCTTTAATTCTGCCAACAAGTTAGACTATTGCATTAATGGCACAAATACCTTTATACTAAGATCGGTGTGGCGTGAATAAGAGAGATGAAGTTTGCAAAACCCTCCATCGTATATGCAGTTCCCTTCTAAGGCCTCCTTGGCAACAATAGCTGTCTGAACATCTGCCGAAACATGGAACCATTAGCACTTGAATTCGAGGAACGACAGAAATGAAATGCCCAATCTAGTTCTTATGTTTTTGCCATGATATAGAAAGAATAATGGGTTAGGCCATAAATGCCAATCATGAACTTGTAAGAATAAGCAAGCTCAGCTATAAGAGAGAAAATATCAGGTAATCGGTATTGAGTTGGGGTACTAGACAGTCCAACAAGTGTTCCTTCCAGTAAAAAATACCATGTGTAGAACATCCAAGGTAACAGCATACTGCATGTTCTCAATAAATGCAAGTAACACATTGCTCTCAGGTTCAAGCTTTTTCACATCAAAACCCGTATTGAACTGCAATGATGACAATTGAGTGAATCTCATTAACAAAGTATCAGACAAGCACTATACGTTACAGCATAGCGGCAACGTTATTCATTTCTCAGGAGGAATACAGATAACAGGAGTTGAATCTCAATGTATGTGACACCTTGCATGAGACAAAATCACATGTAAACATTTTAATGAAGTTATGTCAAGTACCTCGTGCTAATACTAATGCTTTATGCACTAAGAATATGTACCCTGTAAAGACTCCAATAAGTCATTGCAATCTATAATTCCCTCGTATCTGCCAGAAAATAAGGAATGGAATGAGTCCAACACATCAGGTCTTAAGCAATGAGATAGAAGCAACAGAACTTATCATAGAGCTTGACAATTGCAGAGATGCATTTCAGGTTTTCCAAATATGTTAACACAATCAGCAGATGTAAAATCAATAATTTTTACAAGGTACAAAAATGCAGAAAAATATAAAAAGAACAACGATGTAAAAACCAACCAAATTGTGCTGCTAAGAAACCACAAATCTTTCCAAAACCTTATTCTGTTACCATAAGATTTCAGGACTAAAATAATAATTAGAAATTATGTTTTATTCCAAAATAGCAAGAGATAAGTATGTTTGCTTGAGCACAGAAGGTGCATAAGAGACTTTCAATCTTCACAGGAGTATCATGTAACCACTCATTCATTAGCAGAATAACAGGCATCAGCGGACAGAAAACAATACTGATTACATGAATGACTAGCTACCTAATCAGAAATCAGGTTCACATGACAAAAGCTAGCATCTCCCTTATAAGTAGCCATGGCTTCAGCTGAGTGACAATTCAAACCGAGGTTAGGAAGATTTTGGCACCCAATAAAGCTAGCATCTATTGTCTATTGCTTAAACTCGTATTCATATTCATGCCAAAACAACAAAAAGTTTTGTTGTGTGTGTGTGTGTGGAAAGAGCATGACAAAAACCACACAATCCTAGTAATTACATAAACTCAGATATTCCTTACCAGATGCAAAACATCAATGGAAACAAGCCGCGAATCTTGACCTCCGATTGTTACCAAAAGAACATTACCGGTTGTTTACAATCTCTTGCCTGTTAGGATATTGTAGGTAGACCTTTTCCCTCCTAACTTGAGCAGGCTCCGAAGATGAAGCATAATAGTTGATGGGTGATTTTACCTAGTATTGTAGCTAAAATCACCCATCAACTATTGTATTTATCAAATTTTAAATATCTAAATTATTTTTCTTTTGCTAATTCACATCCCTAATGTCAACTCTGGCTTTCACGTAAATTTCTACTCATCGTTTTTCTTATAATATACTCCTTCACATTTTTCTGAAATTTGTATTTTATCGTGTGATATTTTTCTCGTGTCATATACATTTTGTGACCTATCATTTGATTGGATAGAAAAATTAAATAAAAACTTGATAACATTAAGGGCGAGAATTAACGAAAAGAAATAGTGTAAGTACCTCGAATTAACAAATGCTATATTTTAAGGGTGGTTATATAATAAAAATTTAATTATATACACAAGTTTAGAAAAATATTTTAGAAAATTAAAAGCTGATATAGTGATATTTTAATATCAATAATTCAAATGAAGTAATTTATTAAAAACTTTTAAAAATAAATATTAATTTAATATATAATAAATATAAATACATTATATTGGTAAATTTAGGAGCATACGACAATATTATTGGGGTTAGGTGTGGGAAATAGGATAAGATATGATATGCTGTCCAAAAAGAACCGAATTATTGCTAATAAGGGATGGGTTAGTGCTCTCAAATGAGATAACCCGAATTATTAGTCGCTACGATTTATGTAAAAGTTAATTTTAAAAGATCAAATTAAGAAAATGATAGAAATCAAACGATATTCTCATCGCCTCCTAAATTTATCAGAAGTGGAATTCACAATGCTTGTTCTGGTTCACTGGTGCCTTGTCTCCCAGTGGAGACAGTATAATCAGACTATCATGATTGAAGAAAACTACATGTGATGTATGATTGGCGATTTACAATCTCGAGTATTTGAATTTTATATTACCCGTATAAGAATTCTATGTTTTTTCATGTAGTTAAAACGACTGTCATGACTCATGAGCCAATATATAAGCATGTAGGGGGAGTTATATAGACGACCGCCGAGAATGTTGATACAATTCAGACGACATACCGGCGAAGATAGTCGACTCGGGCCGGATGCTTGAGCTTCATCAGAGCCTTTACTTCGTGCTTTCGGACCATTTCTCTCGAAATATTTAGGTTCCCAGCAATTTCTCCTAATGTTCTATCACCATTACCATCTAGCCCGTATCTCTGCCTGATCACCAGGCTCTCTTTAGGCTTCAGAGAATCAAGCTGGAAAAAAAAAACAGGGGTTTTAGTTGTTGCCTACTGTGAGCCATTGATTTCAGACAAAATATAAGTTAAAAATAGAATGTAGACTTACCACATCATCAAGTGCAAGCCTGAGAAGAGCAGGTTGCCTCCGGTGATCACCGCCGACACCATCAACATCGGTTAGTCCACTAATGAACTCTTCTTGCGTGACCGAGTGCCTCGAATGAAGAGACCCCACGGATTTTGAGGCCCTCATTACTTCTTGGTATCTCTCAGGAGAGATCCCAACCTTTTCAATTACTTCATCTTCTGTTGGTTCTCTTTGAAGTTCAAACAATAATTCCAGTCTGGCTCTATTGATTTCTACTCTAACCTGCATTGAATACACAAGTAAATAGTTGGCCCTGCCAAAATGTCAATGTTGCTACTTGTTTCATGTAAATCATCATGGTATTTTTCGATATAAGCAGTAAAATATAGCACGCATAAGTGAGGAGAGCATACAGATTCAAGTCCAAACGGGACACGGGTGAAGTTTGAAACTGTCATTGAACGTATAATTGAATGCCTAATCCAAAAAAGACCATACGTCGAAAGCTGGAATTTCTTTCTCGGTTCAAAGCGATCAATGGCTGTAATAAGTCCTTTGACTCCTGCCTGACAAAGGTCTTGAAATCTTGGACCATTTGCAAAATCTTGAAAATATTTGTTTATCACAAACATAACTAGCCGGAGATTATGCTGCATGAAATAAAGAAATACCTCTCAGCAGTTATTATTGAAAGCCAATGCCAAAATGCTAACAATAAGCTTTATCCACAAACTGGGCAACCACTTTTAAAAGGGTGATATCAAAACATGATGGTCAAATTACTCCCAAGTTGTATCACAGAAAATTTGGCTTAGGAACACTAGGCTACTGGTACCTCAACACCAGTAGCATATATTAAAAGACTAATAAATGTATATTAATCCAACTGAAAGTGAAAATAACCCTACTGTTGCTGGTGCTGGAAGAAGAGTTACCTTAATGAGCTTATTTCTAGCAGCTTGACCGACCTCTAAATGTCTACTCACTTGAGCTGCACTCATATTTATTGCCTCGGCTAATTCATCTTCAGTAGGATCTCTACCCAATTCCTTTGCAAGTTCTCTTTTGCCTCAAGCATTGCCTGCAGTTTGATCAAAATGTTTTAGTGCAACCACAATCAAAGTTTCAAAAACTAAGAAATATAGAAAACAAAGGCTTGCAGCAGTCTCCTTCAATTCAAAAGGTGCAAACCTTCATTGGCTGCATTAGCTTAAACAACCAAGTATGTTCTGTGGAAGGTAGAAC